TAACGCTCATCCTCACTGTGACACACATATGTGCTACAAGATAGTTCGCTTATGTCATAGGTCCTAAGGTGGTAGAGAGTTGACACCATGTCTTATTTAAAGTACATTCTATGGCATCTTTAGTGTAACAGGAGTAAACATGATTTTGGTGAAAGGTCATATGGTCTCATGGATCATACGTTGGGTGTCCTATCAACACGAAATTTGGTGAGTATTCATATTTCATACGAACGGACTTAACCCCAAATCCACATACCCAAACTCCTTCCAAAACCCCGACTTTCAAAATTAAGGTTCGAGCCCTACTCGTCCCCTTATCAAGCCTATATATTGTCCATCTCGTCTATTTGTTGCCTCCATCTTATTTATGCTTCATCTTGGCTACAGTGCACATTTCATATGGTGTGTTGGATGATGCACCATTCTCCGTAGACACATCATGATACTTGTTTGTCTTGACCCTTTGTGTAGCCGGATGGTCACCACATTGTCTGTGTTTATGTGAGGGTCACTTAGGTCAAAGGTCTCAAAGTGGTGGAGAGCCGACACCATGCCTCGTCTAAAGTACATTCTAAGGCATTTTTAGTCTAACAGGAGTAAACATGATTTTGGTGAAGGGTCATATGGTTTCATAGATCGTACTTTCAATGTCCTATCAACACCAAATTTGGCGAGCATTCATATTTCATATGAACAAACTTAACTCCAAAGCCACATATCCAAACTCCTTCTGAAACCCCGACTTTCAAAATTAAGGCCTGGGCCCTACTCGTCCCTTTATCACGCCTATATTAGTCCCTCTTGTCTACTTGTTGCCTCCATCTTATTTATGCCTCATCTTGGCTACAAATGCCCATTTCATATGTTTGTCTTGACCCTTACGTGGCCGTATGGTTACCATTTGAAGGTCACCACATTGTCTGTGTTTATGTGAGGGTCACAACCTACTCTCTTTTCAGTATGATTATAACATTAGTTGTGATATTGTTCATGGACCTATCATAGCATGGGCTATATGAGTTATTTCATGCCGCCAGAGAGTCTAGCAAGCGAGTTGTCGTTTGACCAAAAGTGAATCTTATATACGAGATCGGAGATGATAAATGAGTATAAAATACATTTTTAATGCTTTGAAAAGTCTTAGAATAGGATTGGAGTGTGGAGGCAAGTGGAGTCCAATGTGCATAGGGAAAAGTGCTTCAATTTGGACCACTTCGAATCATAAATCACTTCACCTAACTAAAATTAATATTTAATATAATTTATAATATTCTTAAAATCCATTTCATTCACACACTCCATTTATTAATTTTAAATATAATATCACCATTTTTAAAGCTTTATTTAAATATTAATTTATTTACGTGACATCTCAAGTTCTTTTTAGGTAATGTTCGGTTAGAGACGTTCACGGGACAGGGATGAAAAGCCTTCCCTATCTCCATCTCTGTCTCTTGTTTCAAATCTTATTCTTGTGAAAATTTTAATTTATTTTACCGAGAATCGAATTTTTTTTAAACAATTTTTTAAGAAGATATTAATTTAAAAAAAAATTAATGAAAAAATTATATATAAATAAATCTATTAATATTTCATAAATAATAAATTTCAATATTACGACATAATCTTTCACTCTAATAGTGAGTGGGGTGGGACAGAGGTGGGGACGAGAGCGGGGAAAATTTTCTCCCGGCTCCCTTTCCCATTCCCGGTTAAAATGAAAACTCCTCACCCCACTCGAGACGAGTCTCCATAGAACACCCGCCCTAGAAAATTCAAATGCGAGTTTCTATTGGCTTTAAATTCATATTTACTTGATTCATTTTAAGTGTTTCTAAACGGTGACGATTACTCATACAAACCAACGACATATAATTATTTCAAGCATGTTCAATCTCGAAATTGATTCATTCATACACTTCTTCTTTACTCGAGTATCACAATTCACGTCATTTCTTCGTACTCAATTTCAAATCTACATTTTTTATAATTTTTAACTTTTAACTTAACGTTGTGATACACGAACAAAGACACAATGTTTGGTCGAACTTGAAAAATGACAGAATTAGTTTGTTTGAAAAAGAAAAAAAAATATTTAAAAATATTTAATTATATTATAAGGCATCTTTCAACGTGTCACACATCTCCATATTCAATTATTTGAATTATTTTTATATAATAATTAATTTGTATCGATATTACTCATAAATAATAAATTTAAATAAATTTATTACCTAAATTATTTAATTATTATTGCTACTACGTCCTTTTGGTATTCATTAAGGACGAGGAAGCAAACCTCGAAGCTCGAGCCACGTCATTTCCAAATCACGTGTGGGTTTCTTTTTGTACTCTCCTTTAAAATGACAGGTGGCATTATTTTTGTATTTTCTTCAGGAAATCTACACGGTTTAGGGAAATAAAAAATAAAAAATAAATCAGACGTGTAAAGCCACGTGGTAATGCGGATCTCTCCGAGAATTACTCGTTGACAGCGTGTACACAGGTGGGAAAACGAGTCCAGGTCGGAAATTAATATTATTCTTATTATTCTTATTATTATTATTATTATTTTGGTTTAAATTTAAATTGAAAATCGGAGTTGGATTTCGGGGCAAGTTTTGTCTCCACGGAATTAGCGGATCTGGTAGCCGACATGCCAAAGTCGCCCACTGTCGGCCGAGGAATTCATTATTAAAATAAATATATTAAAATATTATTAAGCCACGGAAAAGATTGGTACGTCTTGTTAGTATATGTAATGACTATACGTTATTATTTAAGCATTTCTTGACGATCAAGGAGTCAAACTCATGGTACTGTCTACACGAGCTCATATTGAGAAACTGAAGCCAGATAGTTGGCAATCAATGAGTGGTGCACGGCTTCGCTCTGTTGGGAGAGGAGTCCCACGTTAGACTTTGATCATGAGTTTATAATTACATAATACTATCTCCATTGGTATGAGACATTTTAGGGAAGTCAAAAGTAAAGTCACGAGTGCTTATGCTCAAAGTGGATAATATCATACCATTGTGGAGGTTTGTGTTTTCCAATACGCTCGATATAACACCTTATGAAAAAGTTGTACATGAAGCACATGATTTGTCTAGCTCGTAATGGAGCTTAAGCGGGTTAACTAGGAGACCAGAGTCCAACAGAAAAATAATTGACGAAAAAATGATTATTATATATATATTATGAATAAAAAAGAAAAAAAAATAGAGCTAAAATAGTTATATTAAATATTTATAGATTAAAATGAATAATCTAAATTTATTTGGTTATTTGTAAACAAAAATATAATTATTTGAAAGTTATTTATTATTATTTATTTAATTTTTATTAAAACTTATTTCAAGCTAAGAAATTAATTTTTAATATAGAAATTAGAATTAAGTAAATTAAAATATATAAATAAATGAAACTCAAATTACACCGACTAAAATAATATTAAATAATTCACCATGCAAGTTGGACCATTTAATTTTAGTACAAATTATTATTATTATTATTATTGTAAAATAAAAAATAAAAAAGCAAAATTTGCCATCCAGTCATTAAAAAAATGAAAAAGAAATCTCAACTAATTATTTAAAGTTTTTAATGAAATGGGCACACTTCTCACTGTACCAAGAAACCTCATGTCATTTAAAAAATATAATTTTTTTATTTCCAATATCGACATTTTTATAATAATTATAAATATCAAATAAATTACTAAAAATGTTGAATATCATAATAATTACAAATAGGAAAATATAACATTTTTTAAAAAAGGAAAAAGAAACTACTTTTATTTATTATTTATTTATTTCATTTGATTTGACAAAACCTAACTTTTAATTTTTTTTTTAAATATATATATTTTGACTTATACTCGTGTTTATAAAAAATTTCAATATTTAAATAATATGAGACAGTGGAAACTACCAAGTTGGAGTATGATAGGGACGGAGGGAGTTTTCAATAGAGTAGTGAAATGTATAGAGATGACGAAAATATCGACGAAAGTATTCTCTTAGGCCGACATGGCCGTACATGAAACTGATACTCAAAATGGATGATATTATATCATTGTGGACATAACAAAAGCATTCTACTGGACTGACACGACACTGATACTGATACTCAAAGTTGACGATGCTATATCGTTGTGAACATAACGAAAGCATTTTGTTGGGTTGACATGATACTGACGTTGATACTCAAAATGAACAATATTATATCATTGTGAACATAACAAGCATTCTGTTGGGCTGACACGACACTGATACTGATACTCAAAATTGACAATATTATATTGTTGTGAACATAACAAAAGCATTCTGTTAGGCTGACATGATACTGATGCTGATACTAAAAGCGAACAATATTATATCACTGTGAACATAACAAGCATTCTATTGGGCTGATACAACATTGACATTGATACTCAAAGTTGACAATATTATATTGCAAACATAACGAAAGCATTTTGTTGGGCTGACACGACATCGACATTGATACTCAAAATTGACAATATTATATCATTGTGAACACGACGAAAGCATTTTATTGGGCTGACACGACACTGATACTGATCCTCAAAATGAGTAATATTATAACACTGTGAACATAATGAAAACATTCTGTTAGACTTGACACGACACTGATATTGATACTCAAACTTGACAGTATTATATCACTGCGAACACGACGAGAGTATTCTGTTAGCTGACGTAATATCCAAAGTGAACAATATTATAGCACTGTAGTACACATACGAGTAATGCAACAAACATGTCTTTTTTAAGCGTCGTCGAGAGCGAGTTTGATTGGATAAGACCTAGACTAGGTGAATTATTATTATTATTATTTTATATATTATATATTTAATTATTATTTTAAATCTTACGGATCCGAAATTCGATAGACGAGATTTGTTTATTATATTACCGTATCATAAACAAAATGAATTTTTTAAAAATTAAAATTTAAAACTATTTTCAAAATGTTGAGTTGATATTGCGCTCTCGAATGACTCTCTCCTTCTCTGTCAAGAGTTTCCCTCTCCGATTTGATGCATCAACTGCAATGAGATGAAAGTCTTCAGAATATGTAGCGTTTAAGTTTGTGCTTGATTCCTTCGAGTTCTTCCGTTGCTTGTTTATGAATCCTCCTCGGTCGATTCCGCTCAACCATATTTTGTTCTGGTAATCTTCAATCAAATCTGTATTCGTTTGAATTTGTCTTCATTATTGCTACTGATTCACTCATTTTTGTTCGTCTCTCGGTTTTTGGTGAGTAAGCTGTTCGGTTTTCCGTTTATCTGATTAATCGTTTCTTGAATTTTTCTGAAAAGAGATGGCCAGTTGGCTTCAGCGGGCTTTTTTTCGGTTTATTTCCGCTTTGAATCTTTGCTTAGGGTTTCGTTGTCAAATTTGGTTAGAAATTATTTCCATGAAGGGATGAGACGGAAGGAATCTGGAAGGGACTCCAATGCTTTGGATTTAAATGGAAATACAATTAGACGGTCAACATTCTAAGCGGGCGTAGGATGAGTACTTGGTTTTAGTTGAGGAATAATGAGTATATTCAACGACTGGAGGTTGAAGTTGGAAATTTCTAGATTTAGTTAGTTTCCATTGCAACTTTCTAATGGACATTTAAGGATATATTTTCATTTTCTTAATATTTGTAATGTAAAATTAGCAATTTGTTTTTGAATCGGAAGTTGATATTACTTGTTAATTGAAGTTTCCACTGTCCTATGTTTTTTTCTTTTCGTTTTATTCTGAGGTTTTTATCTTTTTGGCAGCGCAGATGACATAGATTGTTCTTGATGAAACTATAATCATGGATGTTCCCGACGTTGAAGAAATACTTTTTTCTCCCACTGATGCAAAGGTACTTGCTGAAATATATTTTCTGTTTCTTCTCAGATGAGCGTGCCCTTGGTACTGTTTTCTTTTGGTTCCTCAATATATTGATGCCTGGTTTCTCCTAGATATTTCCGATCACGTGTTTTTTAGTTCAACTCACAGCAGTTATGAGTTGTAGCTGCATCTAACTGTTGTAGGAAATAACTATTTTCATTTGATACAGAAAGAAGTTCCAAATTACTGATGTACTTTTTGTTATCCCGGCACGAATACACTGACATGAAATGAGTTCCCCACAAAGCATTTTTCTTTCGTCCTCTAACGTTCAGACATTTTGTTCGATTCTGGATCTCTTTTCTGAAACGGAAAAAAACGGAGCTGATTTGCATAATTTTTGAGAAATGAAACTGCATATATAATTTTAATGGTGTGACTGAAATGCATGACATTACTTTCTGAAAGTGATGCAAGGAAAAACAGTAATATATAGTGTCTGGTTCTGGTGGAAGGTGTGTTCCTTAGTTTGTATGCTTGGTTGTGACTCAGGGTGCTAGGATATGTCGAGGAGTCTAGTTTCCTTGTAAAAGTTTCGTAGTTAATTACCATTTGGTTTTTTGACAATTAAGCCTGCAAATGCTAGGTTTCCTCGTTTTTTCGTCGAACTTTTACGTATGTTTTATAAACCAAGCCAAGTTATGAAAACTAAAAAAAGTAGTTTCAAAAACTGTTTCTGAATTTTGGCTAAGAATTTTAATGTCTTCTTAGAAATAATGAAAGGGTTATTAAAAATAAAAGGTTATAAAAAACTAAATGAATGTTACCTGTATTTAAATAATCTACAATCAGTTCAAACTACTTTAGTCTGGCGATATCGGTTTTTACTGGGCGCATACTATCTTTCCTTGGTATGAATTGTTTTTCCCCACATTTTGCAGTTGCATGGAGAAATGTACAAGAAACTCGCTGCAATTTATTGCCAGGTTATGTCAATTTTCCCTTCCTTGGAAGCAGCAAGACCTAGGAGCAAAACTGGTATTCAGGCTTTATGTTCATTGCATGTAGCTCTTGAGAAGGCCAAGAATACTCTTCGGCACTGCTCGGAATCCAGTAAACTCTACTTGGTATGACTTAACAATTATCATTATTCCAACATTTCTCTTGTAGAACTTTTGATTAATCATGAGGAATAGCCAACCAATGGATAGAGCCATTATGCTTTACGTCCTTTTTCTTCGTCTAAAAGTCACTATGAATATCATGCCAACTGGTTTGCATTTCTATGACAGGCTATAACTGGAGATGCTGTTCTAGCCAAATTTGAAAAGTCAAGATGTTCTCTTGAAGTTAGTCTTGTATGCGTTGAAGATATTGTTTCAGAATCAATTGGATTTCAGGTGAAAATAATTCTGTTTCATATCTTCTTTTCCTTTCTTTTGTCATGCTTTTAACTGGATTTGTCTCCTGACTTGATCGGAATGCTGTTGATACCCCCTTTCATTGGGCAGAATTTTGGAAACAGCATAGTGGAAGTTCATGATTTTGAAAGCAACTTAATCTCTATTACTTGTTCATTTTACATCACATATGAACTCAATCACGTCTTAAATCTTGTTAAAAAAACCTCATTAGCTTAGAGATGGATTTCAGTATGCCCATTACTGACGTTCTAGTGTTTCATTTGGGTGCAAATGCACTGTATCATCAATGGCTTATGTAAATGTTACTTTTTCCAGATTCAGCAGATAGTGGACGAACTAAAGAACATTGTTTTTTTACTTGACCCACTCGAGAAACAAGTTGGTGATGATATCATTGCATTACTCCTGCAAGAAAGAAAATTTGATGATTCCAATGGTCATAATGAGCTGGAGCATTTTCATCAGGCCGCCACGAAACTGGGAATTACATCCTCCAAAGCAGCCCTCACAGAGAGGAGAGCTCTTAAGAGACTCGTAGAACGAGCTCGCTTAGAAGAAGACAAGCGAAAGGAATCAATTGTAGCTTACCTTTTGCATCTCATGAGGAAGTATTCTAAGTTATTTAGAACCGAGTTGTCAGATGACACTGACTCACAGGGAGGATCAACTCCTTGTTCTCCTACTGTTCGGTGTTCTCTTGAGGACAATGGACCTACAGCCAACGGCCGAATGTTTGAACATCAGCTCTCAAAGCTCAGTTCTTTCAATTTCAAGCCAAATTATAGGATATCAGGGCAAATGCCTCTTCCACCTGAGGAATTAAGGTGTCCAATATCATTGCAGCTTATGTACGACCCTGTCATAATTGATTCCGGGCAAACATATGAAAGGATCTGCATTGAGAAATGGTTCAGTGATGGTCACAAAATCTGCCCGAAGACTCAATATTGGCTCTCCCATCTGTCCTTGACACCTAATTACTCTGTCAAAGGTCTTACTGCTAATTGGTGTGAATCTAACGGAGTTCCTATCCCTGACAGTCCGCCAAAGTCGCTTGATCTGAATTATTGGAGGCTTGCACTGTCTGATTCCGAGTCTGGACAATCAAGATCTGTGGACAAAGTTGGCTCTTGCATGTTGAAGGAAGTTAAGATAGTTCCTTTGGAGGAAAGTGGAACAATAAAGGTTGTTGAAGAAAATGAAGCAGAGGATAATACATACATGGAGGAATCATCTGATTTTATTACTCTGGAGAGTTGTGTAAATTTTATGACAGTATTGACCGAAGAGGGCGACTTGAGTAAAAAATGCAAGGTTGTGGAGCAGATAAGACTTTTACTCAAGGATGATGATGAAGCTCGAATTTTGATGGGAGCCAATGGCTTTCCTGAAGCACTCATGGAATTCCTAACTTTAGCTCTTATTGAAGAAAACGCCGATGCTCAGGAAAGTGGAGCCATGGCTCTCTTCAATCTTTCTGTCAACAACAACAGGTATGTACTCTTTATCTAAGCCTACGTTCGAAAACGAAAGTACATTTTGGCCATGATGTAGACTGATTAGTGGAAAATCTGGCATCTTACGTGATAGTTGTGTGCATGTTTCATATTTCTGTCAAGAAGATCATGATGAAAGAGATTGCATATCATGAATTGATTGTCACTCGATTGATGGTTTTGACTTAAAGTCTATCATATATTCTGAAACATATTGTTAGATTAGGGTCAGAATAACATTTCAACTTCATATAAACCCCAATCTCGGAAAGAGACTCTGTCTTTGTCGATCTCTCTCGCTCGAGGAGGGAATAAAATGTATGTTTGTTCTCTTATCTAAATTCTGCATCTTGAGAATTATTACTGTTGCCGTGAGTTGATCTTAATGGCATCATCCAGGCAGTTTAATAAGAACATGTTTTAGATATCTTAGTTGTATGTAAACTATATGCATGCTACTACTATATGTTCTGGTACGAGCGAACGGACCGATGACAGTAGTGAATTTCTTCAGAAACAGGGAAATGATGATAGCAGCAGGTGTAATCTCATTGTTGGAGAATATGATTTTGAAATCCAATTTACATGGACCTGCAACAGCCTTATATTTGAATCTTTCCTGCCTAGAAGATGCGAAACCTATCATTGGCTCTAGTAGAGCTGTTCCTTTCCTTATCCAGCTGCTTACTTCTAATGGTGAATCCCAAACGAAGCTCGATGCACTTCACACCCTTTACAACCTCTCGACCACGCCCTCCATTGTCCCCGTTCTTCTTTCCTCCGCCATCATTGATGGACTTCAATCCTTTTTTGCAACTCCCAGTGACAACTTATCGACTCAGACTTCCTTAGCTATCTTAATAAACTTAGCTTCAAGCCAGTTGGGGATAGAAGAAATAACCTCAGCCCCAGAGCTTATCAGCGGGTTGGCAGCAATCGTGGATGCTGGCGAACGTGCCGAGCAGGAGCAAGCTGTCTCGTGTTTGTTGCTTTTGTGTAGAGGGAGTGAAAAATGCAGTCAAATGGTGTTACAGGAAGGAGTGATTCCTGGATTAGTGGCGATTACGGTAAACGGGACGTCGAGAGGGAAGATAAAAGCTCAGAAGCTTCTGATGTTGTTTAGGGAGCAGAGGCAAAAGGATACCGATCTCGGTCAGCAGCGAGAGCGAGATGGAAATAGCAACGCAACCATGGCTGTTCCAGAGCCAAAAACTCTATGCAAATCAGTATCAAAGAAAAAGATGGGGAAAGCATTAAGCTTTTTTGGGAAGAACAAACGGTTTTCACTATACCAATGTTGAGCCTTTGGTCCTTGTAAATTCTGTATATTTCTTTTAGGTCCCTCGTGTTAGTTTTTGTTTTCAAATAGGACCCTAGAAATGTACAGCTTCCTGTAAGTAATGATCTTTGCTTTCCTTTAGTGTATGATTAGAACATGCTTATGATGTTAGGACAGAATTGGTTTTTGGGTTAAATCATCATTTTTGCCTCAGCTGGTGATTTCAATTTGGTCTTTTATTGTTTTGAAAATGCTTCTATTAGCAAAATCGATACCCGGCCACGTCAGCATCGTCTCTTTTGATGAACTCGGGTTTGTCAAACTTGATATTCATTCTAGCTAGATCTATTGAGAGCAACCATCTTACACACTGTGGCACAACCTAGGGCAAACTTTTGTGCTTGGTGGAGAAGAAGTGAACAAAGGTACGCTCGCTTCCTGTCTTGTTCTCTGTTGCGAACTGGAACTGTTCGTTTTTTATCAGAAGCTTGTGATTTAGTTTTTGATGCAGCAAGTAGGGGCAAACAATTCTTAATTGTTGGTACCAAAAATAATGCAGCGGATTCAGTAGCCTGGATTGCAACAAGGGCTCGGTGTCATTATGTTAATAAAAAATGGCTTGAGGGGATGTTAACAAATTGGTCTACTACCGAAACAAGACTTCATAAAGTTCAGGGACTTGAGAACGAAACAAAAGACGGAGGGACTCAATCGTCTTCTGAAAAGGGATCCCACCATAGCTGAGCCCACAACCAGTCTCCCCACTCTCACCCTCTTAGTGCACGCAGCCCAAGGAAGCCACGTCGTCTTGTCTTGTCTTGTCTTATATTGTTTGAAGGGGGAAAATGAAGTTGATGTGACGATGCACAAAGTTAAAGCGCTCTTAAAATAGTTAGAATTGGACTTAACCTTTACGTAGGAAGGAGAGCAATAAAGATCTATGAATTTTTGAAATATTGTATCATGTAAAGTTACCTTGATTGAAGGTACTTAAATGTAGGCTCGATTGATGTCAGAGTTGGACCAATTTTTGTAGGGACGATTACAAAAAGCTCTTCAGGTAAGAAGTCTTCTTAGTTAAACTCAAACTATCGATTATACAAGTATGCTATTCTATGGTTGCATGTTGATTGCTTCTATACTTGGGCAAAAAACATAATATGTTTTGGGATTGTGTATGTGTGTTTTATGAATGTAAGGAGTGTGTTAAGAGTTACACGCTATGTGTTTTGGGTAGCGGGCCACTAGTGGTCACTTGAAGTGATTGCTGATAATTGTTTTTGTAGTAAGAGTTATGCATATACAGTGTTGGGTGACTAGCCACCAATGTTCTGTGAGGATTGATCGCCGAAAACGATTTTTGGTGAGCATCAGGGTCCCTCGATTTTAATCGGTTAACTATATAATAGTTTACATATCTGATTTTCAGGTAAGGGCAAATTGTAGCACATGAGTGACGAACAAGATAAAGAAACCGATCATGGGGCAACTCTAGCATTTTGGATGGAAGACGTTTTCCTTTTAAAACTTTTTTATTGTTGAACTATTTAGTTGAAGTACAGCTTTTTCAAATTTCTTTAGAAAGGGGTTCCCGAGCATATCTCCACTAAAATGTCTTTTTAACATCTTTTCATGTATTTTAAATTATAAACTTTTTATGTTAATTGACGTTTTCGACCAATACGTGTGCTAAAAATCAAGCGGTTCGAAATAAAAATATTCTAAAAATGAACTATCCCTTGTGTCAACCTTATAAGAAATCAACCAAAGTTAAAAACCATTAACCAAAGTGAAAAGTAAAAAACCATTAACCATAGTTAAAATTGTTGAATGATGAAAGTCTCGCATCAGCTAATGTAGGGAATGATCATGAGTTTATAATCAAGAAATACTTTCTCTATTGGGATACGATCTTTTGGGGAAGCCCAAAGCAAAGCCATGGGAGCTTATACTCAAAGTAGACAATATCATACTATTGTGGAGAGTCGAGTTCGTCTAACTTGGTATCAAAGTCATGTCCATCAAAGTCATGCCTTAAACTTAGTTGTGCCGATAAATTGGTAAACCCTCAAATGTCGAACAAAAGACTCCAAAAGAAAAGGAGCCAAGCCTCCTCGAAGGCATAGTAAAAAATGACTAAGACTCCAAAGGAGTCGAGCCTCGATTAAGGGGAGGCATACTTTGTTCGAGGGGAGGTATTGGATGATGGTCGAGCCTCGATTAAGGGGAGGCGTACTTTGTTCAAGGGGAGGTGTTGGATGATGGATGATGAAAGTCCCACATCGGCTAAGCCTTCTTGAAGACATAGTAAAAAATGACTAAGACTCCAAAGGAGTCGAGTCTCGATTAAGAGGAGGCGTACTTTGTTCGAGGGGAGGTGTTGGATGATGGATGATGAAAGTCCCACATCAGCTAATGTAGGAAATGGTAATCAACACTCTCTCTATTACGAGACCTTTTGAGTAAGTCCATAAGAGCTTATGCTAGACAATATCATACCAATATGGAGGGTCGGGCGTGTTCGTTTAACAAAAAAATCTCCAATATAATTAAACCGGAAGGTCCAGTACAATGGACCGCTTCAGAAAAATCTTAACGCTATTACAGCGGGAATCTTTCAATCAGAATGGAGGGAAATGTAAAGGCGATAACGATAAGTTCGTTCGAAACCGAGTGATCGGAATCATCCCGTACAGCTACATGCGCACCAGAATGCATCGAATTCGATTCTTTGCGATAGCGATCTCTTTTATCTTCTGCAGGTGATCCTCTATTTTTCCTTCTTGAGATTCGAATTTTGCATATCGGAGTGAATTTGTTCAAGCGTGTTTTTGTATGGTGTTCTGTACTTAAAAACCTAGATTTTGGCAATGCGAACGCCGGAAAATTCCATTGCTCAGTTTCAAAGAATCCGTATGTTGATTTCCTCAATCTTCTTCTCATTAACTGAGTTAAGTGCAGCTTTTAGAATTTTCCTTCTTGTATCTATCAGGTTTAGGAAATGATTGATTGAAGCTTCTATGTTTAGTTTTTTGATCCTGCAATAAGCAATATACTAAACTATCGGAACTCTCTGTTTCTACTGCTTCACGTTTTTAATGATTCACGGAGGTGCGTTTATGATTTTATTTATTGGATTTTCCTGTTTTGGATTACCACGGGGATTCTTGTCTCGCTAAATTTGATGTTTATATTCAATTTCTGTGACAGGAGATCTTTAGTTTTCGTAGTAGATGCTAAATGCTTAATTTGCCATCCATTTGAGCTTCGTAATTTGTTAGATTCATCTCTCTGTTTTTTTTTTTCTTTCTTTCTTTCGGATTTTTCCTGAATTTATTATGTTTTGTCAGAAGTTACAAATATGAAAGACTCTGCAATGATCTCTTTGTAAGACGGTGTCTTTTGATGGCTAACAGGCATAGCTGGTGATGGAAGATGTTTGTTTCGATCAGTGGTTCACGGTGCTTGTCTCAGATCGGGCAAGCCAGCTCCAAACGAGGATCTTGAAAAAGAGCTTGCAGACGAGCTTAGAGAGAACGTGTGATCTTAAATTAATTTCTAAGGGTTTTTTTTTTTCATCTTTAGATTATTGCGTTATACATAATAGCATGATCCAAGTTGCTGATTGACTTTACTTGGCACTTTTATTACTGCCTTCCCATTTTGCTACCCTCATCAGTCTGACCAATATTTGTTGAATTGTTTGAATAGGTTGCAAATGAGTTGATGAAGAGGCGATTGGACACCGAGCGGTAAATTTTGTTGAGGACTCTTAGCTTATACCATATAGAGGTTTTTGTATATCACAACTATTTTGCACAATTACAAAAACAACAACAATCACTTGATAAGTTCTAATAAAAAGTTGAATTAAACTTGAGCTCGGTAAGTATTAGAATATGTTATTAATAATACACGTGAAACTATTAATGCATCACATTAGTAACAATTTCAATTATTTTGGTGATTCTCATTGACAGAAGTATTTAATTTTTAGTTAGAGTTCATATATTTCATATCTAAAACATATATCTGTTGCATATTTTTTGTTAAGATATGATGGTTATGCAGTATGATTCAATAGTTGCTGAATCGTTAATCATTAGTTTATTGAATTGGGTTTCAATAAGCAAGTGCAATATGTTCACAAAGTCAAATTAGTTCCTATTTATGTTGTTAATGGTATCATTCTGTTATTTTTTTTATCAGTTCTATGTATTTGTGTGTGTCTTCTACGTTTTACCTATGAGAAAGTAACGATCTAGAAAATCTCGGCTTTGTCTATTTATTTCGTTTTCCACTCTCGAATTACTGTGGAGGCTGTTTGCTTTTATACGTCTTTGCTCTAATCTCATTGCGTCAGTTGCTGCTCTGCTGACCATCTTTGTATTCTTGCATTTAAATTAAATTGTAATAGACAACAGAGAATATCCAAGTGTGCACTGATTGGCAGGTTTATTGAAGGTGACTTTGGCCAGTATGTTAGATGCATGCGCCAACCACACGTTTGGGGAGGAGAACCTGAGTTACTTATGTCTTCACACGTCCTACGGTAATCTTTCTGTTCAACCATTCTCCTTGTTGCAGTTTTCTCATTGATACATCTCATTCCTGATCATCGAGTAATGCCTATAACTTGAAAACTTGCTTGCTCGTGGGTATTTCTTGTTTCTTAGTTCTTGTTGCTAGATTCTAGAGTGGCTGATGAATGCCTTGTTGAGGATTGTTGGGAGGGAGTCCCACGTTGGCTAATTTAGGGAATGATCATGGATTTATAAGTAAGGAATACATCTCCGTTGGTATGAGACCTTCTGGGAAAGCCCAAAACAAAACCATGAGAGTTTATGCTCAAAGTGGACAATATCATATCATTGTGGAGATCCGTGATTCCTAACAAGCCTCTGAAATTTGTCATACATGCATTTGATTTCGATTATTTGAAGCAAACATCTACTTTTATGATGTTGGGCTTCATATAGTTCTTAAAGGTGATTTGAAAATTGTAAAGAGGATATATTACCCAAAATTTCTGAACCTTCCTATACCCTAGAGCCATGGTATATCGCTGGACCTCTTCACCCACGTGTTAGTCGTGTGTTGTTTGAAGTTAAGAACTTAACCTATGTTTAATAGGTAGGTTTACTTATCTTAGACTGGTCATATAAACTCCAGTTTATAAGACATGTTTTAGACTATAGGCTCTCTTTGTTGAGCTCGGTATACCGAT